TACCGCTCATGCTAATTAAAAAGTACCGGGCGCTTGTCGTAACACTTCTTAAATCAAACAACATAGAAATGCTCCTTTTAGCCTTTAGCAAGTGAGTTCCCGAGAAGCTGTTGCCCCAATCCTCTGTATCATAATTAATTTACTTGTTTTTTTCTATCTCGTAGCACATTCTCGAACGCGGACGGACGGAAGAAAAGGGTCGTATTATTGAACTCCTGCGTGGGCGTGTGGCTGAGCTTTCAGTACACAAGTTTGCCAGCAACGTTGTAGAGAAGGCAGTCACAAATGCTAGTCGTGCTGAGCGACAGGCTCTGATTAACGAGGTCCTCGAGAAGGATGTACAGCCGAGTGTTCCTGGCGCAACACCTGCCACTGTGGGCTCTACCGCTACTACTGCTGCTACACTCCCCGACAATTCCGACTCTGTTCTCTGGCGCATGATGAAGGACCAGTTTGCCAACTATGTTGTACAGAAGATGCTCGATGTGGCTGAACAGCCCATCAAGAAGGAGCTCATGTCACGCATTCGACCCCACCTACCCAGCCTGCGTAAGTATACCTACGGAAAACACATTATCAATAAGATGGAGAAGCACTACATGAAGACTAATCAGGTTCACTTGGCAATGGTCCTCGCCTCACCGTCACCACCCACTACACCGCCTGCGTCTCATGACGCTGAAGAGGATGGAATTTGTGGTAATGCGTCTTCCTCCTCCTCGATGGAGATTGGGTTGTCGAGACTGTCACTGGAAAACGGACGTCAATCACCACCCACTGGTGTTTCGGCAAACTCTAAGGCGTTTGCATCGTCACATTCGCGTTCATCCCAGTTCCGTCAAGCTCAGGTTGGTGGCGAAGCCATCGGCATGTCGTCATCAGCACCGCGTTCAGGTACTAATTCTAAACAGACGATCAGTGGCCCCTCCGGTCGACACGTATTGCATCGCGCCTTCAGAGTCGACAACTGCCCACCCAGCGTCGATAACGAGACCGCTGGCCGGTGTCAGGTACGCGCGGGTTCTTCAGAGGTAGCCCTGTCCGCTATTCCACACTCGGCCTATTCCCGCCTACAGCACGGTCTTGGACTGAATTTAAATGATTCAGCGGAGGAGCACTTCTCATCCCTCTCGGCAC